GTCAGATGGCTGATCATGTAGGTCAAAAATCAGCCCTCTTGGTTTAAAAAATCAAGGGTATGGAGAAATAAAAGAGAAAGAATTGCAACCTGACATGTCCCATTGGAGAGTGCTTTCTACCTCTCTGTCTCTTTCGAGGAAGTGCATGTGCTCTCTGGCAAATTAAAGAAAAAAAAGTTAAAGTACTCAGAAAGAACACTTATTTCCAGAAAAATAGGACAACTGGTTAGAGCCTATTTTGGAGAGATTTCTGTTTCTTCCTATAACTCTACAGTAAAAAAATAATAATGGCCTATAAAACAGTTTCATTCTTTCAGTAGGAGAACTCAATCATGGAATACATAAATAAACTTTTAGAAAAGTATGAACTTTAAAGCAAAACAAAAAATACCTGTTTAACTTGTTTAAAGTATTTCCATTGCCACATTTTGCCCACCTCCTGAGACACCATCCCCCATTTCCTGAATTCCTCTGATGATTATCTGTCTGGATTACTATAAATTCATTCATTTACTTATTCAACATGTACTGATTGAGCACCTGTTACACACCGGATACTTTTCTAGGAGCTGGTGGTATAGCAGTGAAAAAAAAAAAAAAAAAAGACCAATTGTTTAAAATAAGTGTATTCAGGACAGCAGTTAGCTTAATGGCTATGTCGCTGGACTCCCATGTGGTTGACTGTGGTTTTAGTCCTGGATCTGGTGGCTAAACTCATGCTGGGCACATGTGCGTGCCCAAGATCCCACGAGGAGAATGGAGGGGAAGGGATTATGGGGTGGCCATCCCCCCGGGGGGTGATTTCTCGCTTTCTGTCTCTCTGTCTCTCTGTCTTTCTGGCGAGCGAACATGCCTTATAGCAAAAACCTCTCCAAAATAAAAAAAATAATGTGTATTCATACATCTATGATAAGGTTAACAGACTATATGCAAATGAGCATTTAAAGAAATTTCAAGTAGTGATAAGTTCCATGAAGAAAGGTGGGACCAACCCTGTAACACAGTGGTTAGGTATTATGCAAATGAACCTGGATTCTACATGGTTCACCAGGGTTTGAATCCTGCCTCTGGCAGCAACATGTGGGCCCCTGATGGGATGGGAACTTAGGGAAAAATGGATTGTAGTGTGACCAGGCTCAGTTGGTGGGTATTTTCTCTCTCTCTTTTGTTCTGTCTCACATGTGCATACAGACACATGTTGTATTGTACATAAAAGAAAAAAATTTAAAAGAAAGAAAAATAAAGGAGAAATATGTCTATTTGATTTCATATAGTCAGGTACAGCTTTGCTGAGATAATAGTTAAGTAGAGATCTAAAGGTAGAGAGGAAGGTAGGGTATATCTGGAGAAGAACTTCTAGAAGAAAGGTTTTGAAGGTGTTTAGCACTTGGTATGTGAGAAATAGCACAGAGGCAAAGGAACTGGGGCTAGTGGGAAATGGTAAAGGAAGTCAGGAAAGTAGGTGGGAGCAGTACCCACGGGAAGACCATGGAGAAGACATTGTTTTTGTTTTGCTTTTTCAACTTTGATTAGGATAGGAAGATGTAGAGTTTTTTTGCAGAGAAGTTAACTTATCTGACTTATGATTTTTCCATGAACATTCTGGCTACTAAAGGAAGCAGAGCATTCCAGTAAGAGGCATATGCTGTTGTTCAGGATGGAAAAGATTAGCGGCTTAAACTAGGGTAGCAGAGAAGGAACTAAGAACCGACTGGTCTTAGCACTGCCTTGAAGGAGGGCACATCTACTGCTTGTCCTTATATGGAACGTATTATACCCACAGTTGGTCCTATTTCCAGACAATTTCTCAGGATTCTGCCTATATACGGTCTGTCTCTTATGGGGCTTCTGCCTGATCCTCTGTAGTTCTAAGCTCTGAACTGCCTTCCATCTTTCAACAGCCTAAAAAAAATACAAGAAAGACCCAGGGAGAAGGAAAAAACACATCTTTTCTCCAGCAGAGGAATAAGGAAGGGGCTTGAGAGTAAAGAAACAATCTAGATACAGTTTTTACAATGTCTAGCAGATACCAGACATAATTGGAAGGTGAGCAGGCTAATAGTTCTTAATATTTTTGTAGATGAAGAACTTTTTTTCAAGAGGTTTTTGCCTTAGAGCATATGTACTTGCCAAAGAGAGAAACAGAGACAGTGCCGTGGAAAGTGAGAAATCACCCCCTAAGGGGGATGGCCATGCTTCAATACCAATTCCTTCTTCTCTATTCTCTTTCCAGAATCTTGGGCATATATGTATACATACTCTGTGTGATTTTTCAAGCCACTGGGTCTGGGGCTTGAACCATGGTCGACCATGTGGGAGTCCAGTGACATAACCGCTATCCCATCTGCTGGCTCCCAAAAAGAACTCTTTTAAACATAAAACTAGTTCACCCAGTGTTTCTGGAATAAGTCTGTTTACAATGGTTTAAGAAGTAAACATTTTTGCTTTCCAAGATTTAGATGATTTTAAAAAGAAATAGTAACAACAGCCACAATAAAAGTTCTGTAATTTCAACTCAAGGAAAACCCTCGTGAAGGCTGAAATAGGGAGAAAAGCACTGTAGATTCCTCGAAGTAAAAAGAAAATCGATATTATAGAAAACTTTATCAATGCATGTTAGAGTGATTTCTTGGATCTGCTTCTTTTTGTCCATCCTGGGAACTGTACCAGAGAGTTATCATTGTGAGGTATGATTCTCTTTATAAGTCATAGGAAGGAAACTAAGAAAATAGGACTATTCCACTATCCCCCTCCACCTGTGACTACATAAAACCACAATCACGTATCCTGTGGAAACATGTGTTTAATTGAACAGATGAAACATTTAATAATTTGAGGCCAGCCACATGGCATGGTAGTGAAGGTGGCTAGATCCCACGTAGCCAACAACTCAGTTCAAGGCTCAGACCTGGTGTCTTGGAAAACATTCCAGGTGTGTTTGTGGACATGCTCAAAATATAGAGAGAATGGAGGAAGAATTGCAGCGGGGATGATTTCTTATTTTCTCTTTCTTTCTTTCTGTCTTTCTTTTTTTTTTTTTTTGGAGAGGTTTTTGCTATAGGGCGCGTGCGCTCACCAGACAGACAGAGAGAGACAGAAAGCGAGAAATCATCCCCCAGAGGGGATGGTCACGCCGCAATCCCTTCTCCTCCATTCTCCTCTCAGGATCTTGGTACACACGCACACGCGCCCGGCGTGAGTTTTAAGCCACCGGGTCCGGGACACGAACCGCGGTCAACTACGTGGGAGTCCAGCGACATAGCCATTACGCTAACTGCTGGTTCCCTCATTTTCTCTTTCTCACTCTCTTTCTGCTGATTTCATGCAGTCTATACCAAAGACAAACAGACAAAATCCAATAATTTATCAAGAAAGATCAAACAGAATCTAGGAATTAAAGACGACTTAAACTTCACAATTAATTACAGTTCCACTTCTAACCATCTCTTTTGCTCATTTCCTTCTTAATCTAAAAGCTATCCCCAGGACACGTTTTATGCCTTTGAGTCAGTCAATTACTTTCTGTGAAGGAATTTGTAAGTAAATATTGAAGTTTCCCCCCCCCCCTTACCAGCAATTTATTAGTTCTCTTATCAAATTCTCCCTCTTCCTTCCTTACACAACAGTCCTTTGTACCACTCCGCTCTTTGACTCAGTCCTTTCTGTTTGTCTGATTCTCCAGAATTCCCTTGCCATTCTCATTGGAATTTTAGGACTGTTCCTGTTTGACTCAGGGGATCTCACACCTTAGGAATTCAGAACACTTCCATTTCTCCAGCCTCATAGTCCTCTATCCATTCTGCAGTCCAGCCCTCAGCCTCACAGTTAGTAAGAATCTAAGACTCTCAGAACTTAAAGAAACCTGTGACTGATAATATGTATTTATAGTGTGTACGACAGTGCCTGGCACTCAGTGAAGGCTAGATAATCATTAACACTTATTATACTGTGGTTGTCACCTATAGTGTTGGGATCTTAAGACCAGTCTCACAAGGGCCATGGAGAGAAATGTGTGATAGAAAGTTTGTGAGGTGTCTGCAATAGGGCCTGACCCAATGATATGTTCAACAAATCTTAGCCATAGTATGATGATTAAGTTTATATAAGGGGACTTAAAAATTTTGTGAAAAAAATAGAATGGAAAGATGAGTTTAGAAGAAATAAAAAGATGAGTTTATTCTGTTACAAAAAATTTTTGAAATCCATGCAGGTTTTTAATAATGTATTTTCCATGAACTTTTTGAAGGACCCCCCCCCCCCACTTCCTACTATGGGTGTTCCTAAATAATTTATTTGGAGCCAGTAGGTGGCATTGTGGTTAAGGCGCTGGACTCCCTCTTGGCTGACCACTGTCTGAGTCCTAGACCTGGCGGCTTCATTACACCAGCACACTTATATGTCTGTCCAAAATCCCGAGAGGATGATGGGGGAGAAGAGATTGTGCTGGGAGGTGATTTCTCATTGTCTTTCTCTGCCTCTGGCAAGCAGATGCACCCTATGACAAAAACCTGAAAAAAAATTTCTCCAAAAAGTACATATCCTAAAGGGAAAAACCGCTGTAATTCTGAAATATTGTTTGATGTGAGAGGGAAATTCAATGTTTGCAATGTACACTAAAGAGTAAGATTTTCAGATTTAAAAGGAATTACTGCCCTTAAGAAACAATGCTGTGGGATCAGCAGTTGGCGTAATCGCTAGACTCCCATGTAGTCGACCGTGATTTGAGTCCTGGAGCTGGTGACTTAAACTCATGCTGGGCACGTGTGCATGTGTGCCCAAGATCCTGAGAGGAGAATGGAAGAGAAGTGATTGCGGCGTGACCATCCCCCCTGGGGGGTGATTTCTCGCTTTCTGTCTCTCTGCCTCTCTCTGTCTTTCTGGCAAGCACACATGCCCTATAGCAAAAACAAAACAAAACAAAAACAAACAAAAAAACCTCTCCCCCCAAAAAAGAAAAACAATGCTGTAAATTCGTTAGCAAACAAACAGACTTTTGCTAGTGAATTTTATTTTTTGTGTATTTTCAAATTTCTATGCTTGCATTATCGTGACTCATTTATATCTGGAAGAAGTTTATATATAACAATGAAAATTAAGCAGTAGATTATGCTGCTTGCTGTTTCAAATCGAACATCCAGATTTCAATAATAGAGAGATTTTTAGAGGGTGATAGTCTGGGAAGAAGAGCTTGAAACAATATTTCCACAGTACTTGGACAAAGAATGAGAAAGTATAAATTGTCTATGCCAAAGTGGATGAGAGATAACAGAAATTACAGAGAGACTAGGGGATTCTTGAGACCTGGCTTGGAACTACCACTGTTATGAGAAAATTAAAAATAAATGGACAACAGTTTCCAACTCTAAAACATACTATATGCGGTACATATTTTAACCTAGTTTACAATTTACATTTATTATTCCCACTGGAGCCACAAAACCAATGTTTCATTTTACAGTTTAAAGTCACACATAGGAAAATACTTTACAGAATAAGATATTGTTCCTCAATGAAAAATATTACAGTATACGTCCCAAACGGCTCAGTTCAAGTGATCTACCTGAATAACAGAGCTGTTGTGGAATGTAGGCTACAAGACACAGTAATGCTTTAAATAGGTGATTCAGATTTGAAGTTTGCCAATGCCGGACATTCATTTAACACAAGACCCGTCTTAGTTTTCCAAGATTTTGGGTTTGTCATCACTTCTGGAAAACTGAGAATAATAAGTAGTTTACATTTTACACCTTATATACAGTATATAAATCTTCAGTATGTTTTTCTACTATGAGTGCATGTTTAAAGATTTTTTTAAAAAAGTCTTTGTTATACCTTCTTAAGCTTATTACTTCATTCACACACCCTAATATAAAAATCAAATATTTGAGACACTGCTTACATCAAACGGAACATACTTCTGCAATCTGTCTAGTTATCTGCAAAGTCTATTCACAAAGCATGTGCTTGGTTTCCTCTGACACGCCACCCTGAATTGTGAGCAGTGTTTGCCAACTCCCAGCTGTAGCAAGATGAACGAATAATGTTTTTCATGCCTGAGTGTGTAATGCAAAAATGCCATCTAGACACTATATATTCCTTAGTAGAAACTTTAGTCTCACAAAGTTGCACTTAGTATGAATCTTTATTCTAAATATATTTTCAGTCCCGGCAGAAATGTTTCTCATATATCATGAGTTGTTAAACAAAAGGCTGAGATACAGTCATTGTTTACTATGATCATAAAATATTGCAAAGCTTAAAAAAAACCAAAAACCTCAGGCCAAATATATACAAGTGTGAATGAGGATGAGGCCTTAATAGATCCTGAAATATGACTCATATAAAGCTCTGCTTCTCTGATCTGATGCTCTTCAAGTTTGATGGCACCTTAAATGTCCTCAGATGTACACGTTTATCTCACGGACCACTGTTGATTGGAATGATCACTGAACATGCTTATTTCATAAACTCTGAATATCAAGTTGTGCCCAACCTTGACACAGAGCTTACAAGTACTTGAAAACTATAAAATCACATAGGAAAAAATTAGTAATTCAGAAATACCACATTTAATAGTTGATCATTGAAGATGTTAGCACCTCAGTAACATTTACAATTATTCATTGGATGTGCCAAAGGAATATTAATTATTTAAAAATCACAGTTATCCTCACAGTGTTAGACTTTGGGTCACTTTGATGTGGCAGTTCCATATAGGACAATGAATCACCATTTATTTTTTCATTTGATCTAGGCAGTCCACATGGTCTAGTTTGTGGAGTCAAGATAGGTATTTTTAACAGAAAACTTAATTACTAAAGTGCTGGTATATTAGTAGGGTGCAATAAACTGGGTTAACTAACGTCATGTTAAAGTCTAATTCCTTATCAACACCAATGTCTTCTAATAGCACGTTCCATTATTTTTCCCGAAAATCCTGCACTGAGAATATCATTGCCCAAAAGAGGTATTTACCAAATGGAATGCTTTGCTGATCTGAATACCATCTGCATATTGACTTTTTGTGGCTGACTACTGCACGGTTTTGTATGGCAATGTGTTTTCATGCACCAATTGAACAGAACACATCATGCATTATAGACTTATGTGCTTCATGATGATGTAACTTGATGTCAGTTTTTAGTTCATGCTAGCAGAGAAATATTAGGAAGATTGTTTTCCTTCAGTGGACTAGTCAGTTAAGTCAATCTACCTGTTTGTTTTTCTAAAACTATAAGTAGCTGGAAGATAAGAAAAATAATAGTAAAATTTACAAGTTCTTTCTCCGTGTGACTAAATGATAAAGCACCTCGAATTTGGTTCTATTGCATCTTTGTATAACTACATTTCAATACTCACGTTTTTTCCAATTTTGTGGTTTTAAAATATTCAGAAATATATTTGCATGGTCTCAAGTGTAACCATAAAGAGACTGGCAATCATCAGCAATTATGTCAATGAGGTTTCACACTGAGTCCTAGACTGCCAGCAAAATGTGGTTGTTATTAAATTCAATCTTATATCACAAAGTGTGAACTCTAAGACAACACAAACCCTGGACTTCTGATTCTGGCGGCTGTCCTCATCTAAGCTATTACGGTGATCCTGTTAACAAAAAGGAGCAAATGAGGAAACATCAGAAACTGGCAGACATGGTAGAGCGTGCTGTAGGCCCACTTTGTCTTGTTGCTGGGATTAGACTGAGAATTCATAGTCGGAGGCAAGCTGATGCCATCAGCAGTATCCCTGCTGTCCCAAGTCGCATCAACATTTCACGGACTTGAATTTTAGTAATACAAAGTCACATTCTATTACTGGGCACCCCATATTTATGGAAATAGTAATGTCTTCCAACATCTGAATCATGCACATCTGCTTTGCTTGTGCTGTTTTATAGAATTCTACAGACATTAGAGTCTGAATAATATTAAGTTTAAGGAGTGTTTCTCAAGCAGCAAAAGAAAATATTTGGTTTTATTATCATTTATATTGGAGGTTTTATACATGCAACTTTCCTATCACCAACAGCTCTTTATTCACGTTTATTAGTGAACTGAATAACCTTGACTTATGATTATGGCTTAGTGTCTACGGGAAGCTTCTAGGCTATGTATCCACCAAGTTTCAAACTTGCACCATGTTTGATTCAATAAGCATTTTTCTTACCTGTGACTTGGAAAAAACAGTGTTTGTTAATGGGATGTTAAAGATCTGTTAACATAGCTACAAGTAATGAACACTACTAGTCATGACAGTTTAAATTGAAAATATCCTTAGAAAGAGAAGTGATAGTATCAGAATAAAGATACATGAGGAATATACACATATACACCTGTTTCATGCAGAAAGCTTTCTGTAAAAAAATACAAAAGCAACCAGTGCCGTATAATATGTAAACTCACAAAGTATACTTTATACACAAACATAAAGCATAAATTAAAAAGTAGGACAACAGCAAAACATTTTAAATATAGAAGAATTTGCACATATTTTTGTTAAATAAGAATAAATAATTTTATCACACAAGTTCACATACCAGTTGCAAAAACAATAAATTACTTTTTTTCAGTGCTGCAACTTTTTATTGTTTGTGATTTATCCCTTAATTCTTAGTTAAATGGGATAAAACTGTTTCCACAGGAAGGCAAATGAAACGGGATTTGTTGAATAAATTATAATGATACCCTTTTACCTCTAAACAACAACAAGGCAGGGATCATGTCTTCTTTTCTGTTCTAGAAGAAACGTTATTTTCCTCTGAGCTCCTTTTGTACTGACATTATGGGCACTTAGTTATGTAAGTGAGATTAGATCCTTGTGAACCTGAGCATTTTTGTTTACATATTTATTTTTGAGAAGTAGACCCTAGCATCTTGAATCCTAGATTTTTTTAAAATATATTCAAGATGCAACTATGAAAAGGTGAAAGACAGTACAAAGTCAAACTGGACAGAATTAGAATGTTAGTATTTTCCCTGTGCGTGTCATTCTTCATATCCACTTTACACTCCATTTCTCTGAATTTTGACTTCTAGTCCACCATTTTTCTCGAATGTTTAGACATACATTCCTCAGTCAATCTAGTTATACAAAAAAGAGTAAACTCCTTAAAATCATGGTTTATCTAATCTAAACTATCTAGAACTACTTCAACAAGAAGTGGAAAATTTCATTATTTTAAAGAATAATCAATCACTCATAAATCATATTAAATATCGATAAATACAATAGAGAGAAGCAGAGTAGGAGACTACCATATTAGCTCTTCAATTACTTTTTAATGTTATTGGGGCTATGTAATCACGAAAGATGAAAATAAATTTCACATTTGAGTTACTTGATTAAAACTATTTTCAAAATTTTAGAAAGTAACATTTCCTCTCTGTTAATTCTCTTTGCACAGATAGTCAGTGTATTTGTAATTAAAAACAAAACAAAACAAAACTATTTCCTTGTTCCCTGTCCTTGCTACGTGGTGATTTTCATAAAATATAGTTTACCAGTATTGTATAGGCTTAATTTCAAAATAATTTTTAAAGTACATACTTAAAACAGTGTAGCATCCATTTTTTGGCCTACTGAAATGAGTATGCTATGTGAGAGAAATGATATAATTCTCTTATATTAAAAGTATTTTATAATAAAAATAAACTCTCATGAGCGTAATGGAACGCAGAGAATGGTTCCCAAATCTATACATGCAAGTCTTTAACAATAGGCACTTTTGGTATGATTATTATAAAATTTTATTTTAAAAAATTGGCTTTGTGGTATTTCATAAAGAAAAAATAATTCCAATAAAATGATAAACCTCAGTTTTCTAATCTTGGAAGGGGGAATAGAATTTACCATCTAAAGAGATTTTTATACCAATGATTATTAAAAAAAATTCAATCTGTAACTATTCAAATGTATAACTTACCTAGAACAGACTATATAAATAAAAATCCCAACTTTATGAAAATCATTACATTTCATCACTCAAATACTTGCTGATACAACCAAGTGGTTTCTAAATAAAAATAAACTTTAGCATAAAATATACTTGCATTAAAATTGTTTCTAAGAAAGTATTGCCTATGGTGTGGAAACAGTCTTATTAATGTTAATCACTTTTTTTCTTTTCATTAACCACATTAATGATGGTAACTACTTCTAGAGGTGGCCAACTACCAAGTCATCTTTAATATTCCTATTAAATGGTCAATAACAAGTCCAAAACATTGTCAGTCTTACAGAACCTTTGAATAAAACAAACAAGTTAAAGTCAACACATATTGAAGGCTTGCTGGTAAGAGGTATACCAGTATTGAGGATGTTGGACATGGCAGAAAATTCTTGGCTGTGTGTTTTGTATGTATATCACACATTGTGAGATGTGATGGGAGCAACAGAAAGAGTATGAAGTCAGGAGAATATAAGTTGAAAACACATTGAATTATGTTAATTTTTCTTTCAAATTTCAGCACAAAAATCCTGATTTTTAGACTCTTGAATACTGATCACATATGCACACACACACACACATACACAGGCAAACACTATGTCTATATACTAATTACATATTAATTTGATTGACTGCCCAAAAAAGTGCAGGCAGTCAAAGTTTAAGTAAATGGATCTGCATATGTCAATGACTAGACACACTGAGATCTTTTTTTCTTTTTAGAATTTCTCAAAAGATGCTTGCCATCAGAATTGTTTTTTTTAATGAAAATTGTATCTCCTGTAGTCAGACAAGATACTAAATGTTGTTAAAACAGCAGCAAGTTCTTAATTTCCAGTAAAACATCCACAGCTTTTTCTGGAAACTGAAAGGAGTTGAAATAGCTGCAGACCTACTTTGGTCAAACACATTTTTTATAGAAATATAAACATAGACATTTTAATAGAACCAGGTGATATAAAGTGACATACCAACTGAGAAAATATTTACAAACAGTAAAAATAAGCTACTGTGTATTATGGGTGAAAATGATTATGATGCCTTTAAAGACATTCTGTAAGAGGTAGGTGACAAGGGGGAGTTGCTCTGTCATCTTCAAATGTCCCCAGATTCTACATTCGTCAGTGTGCTTTTTCATCCTTGTAGACCCAGGGAATGCTCAGTAACTCCCAAGTTCTTCTATATTCCAAGGTCACCATTGTCACATGAAGCAGTGCACATATTCATTTGGTCCTATAGAGCTGATCCTGCCCATAATTCAACTCCTGTTGACAAGGACACTCACTGAAGCATGACTTCCGGTGCATCGGGTAGACCTCTTGTTCACCACAACTGTTTTAGTGATGAATCCTCCAGTTACCTTTGCGCATAAGGCCATAACCACAGACTAACATTTCTTCAGCAAACATTGTTTAAATGCAGAAGGCCTCTGAGAGAGAAGACATCCCTTTGCTAACTTTCGGTTCTCATCCTTGCACTGCACGGTCCTGGTGTGCCAGCCTGTATCACAGGTCCTGGAACAGGCGAGCCAGGGGCCCGTCACCCACTGCAGCTGTGGAGTTTGTGACCCCACCTTATTGCTGCCATGACTGGTGACAGCATTTTCTTTTTGAGTGGACTTCTTGGGAACAAAAAAACTGTAACGGACATCTAATGCTTTAGTTGGGTCTGTTGCAAGAATCTGCACTATGAGAATTTCCTTCGTGGCGGAGTAGCCCATACCATGCAGGAAGTCATCCCGATGGCTCCAGCCACTGTAGTTCATGACTGTCCCATTGATGTCAATGATGGTTTCTGAAGTGGAGATCATGTACTTCCCATTGATAAGGTACTCACCATTTTTCTTCTTCAGGGCTAAGTAGGCAGTGAATCTGGTCTGGTCTTTGGCTTTGAACTGTCGAACTTTTATGTGCGTTGCCCCTTCAGGGATCCTCACAACGTCAGTGTAACCCTTACTAAGGGCAGGAATGTTCACAGAGAAGAAGCGGTAGGGTGGACAAGGAGAGAAAATAAGGGCACATGTATCAAATGTATAAGCAAATAGAGATGTTCTAAAACTCTTCCCTTATCTTAACACAAAGTTTAAGTTTTGTAAGAGATTATTTTAAAATTGGCTTTACGAATGAATTTTCTTGTAAAGAAATAAAATGCAGTTAGATTATGAAATATATATATATATATA